TGCGATACTTGTAGTGATAATTATATACATGATTTCAGGAAGATATGCATGCAGGGCCCAGCATCAACTTCATATACATGATTAATAATATCTTAGTAGATTCGATTGTCAAATGATGGAGTCGACCTATGGAACTGTAGATGAGTCTTGTCAAGCTTGTGATACTGGATGTAGATCATGCTTTCATAAGTGATTATAATCATGATTATGGATAAATAAGATCATCATCATCTTTAATAGATATGATACAACATGTCTATCATGCTTCAATACACGGGATTTGATTATCATGGACTATACATTAGGAAGGACTAATAGTGGTTATTGTATACCAAAAACACAAAGGACCTATGATAACTTCTTTAGGATGTATAATCATCATGATACTTTACATAATATACTCAATATAGGTACGTTGAGGATCGTATGATAATAGAATGCCCTATAGGGTGTCGAACATGCATGGATCGGTGAGTAGTAGTAGTAAGTAGATAGTATTTAATAACCGTATTATTATTCAGGTATCATTGTACAAGCTGTTATACTGGATATTCACTCTATCCTCCTCTTACTATTCAAGGAGTTACATATAGGAAGTGTTATCCAGTATAGTCCAATAAGCATAATCTTCCTAACTATAATACTGCTCTATACGATGTGATACTTATCATCATGAATCTCCTTAAAGCCTTCTTGTTGTTCTTGTGGTCAGTGTGTGGCAATAGGAGTTGTTCTTGTTCTTGTTGATGTTATTTTAGGAATGTAGACCCCACAGTTCGATGAGAGGTGATAGTTAGTTATTTATAGGAGATAATGTCAAAGAGTAAATATAGAGATCATGACGTCAGAAGAGACGATAAATTGGATGAACTCAATGAAGTATTGTCTAAATATAGGGAGATGAGGGGAAGGCGTGGTATGTCCACCTTATATTATCCTGCTGCTCCTCCTCCTCCTCCTCACTAGAAGGTATTCCACTTATATGTAGCAGCTTTGATGATGCACTCACTAGAAGCAGTACGACGACGACGACGACAAAGGGCACTATCACTAATACAGCAGAGACTGAGTTATTTGGTAAGATGATCATGATGATGCTCATAATATTGAGTGATGATGATGATTAAGATAATCATGGTCAACAGATCTCCAACGAGAACTGCAACAAATTGATGAGTTAATGGTATTACATCAAGATGGGAGGAAGGAAGAAGAAGAGGCGGTGGTGGTGGCGGCCTACCATTCCTCTACCATATCTACTCAACCACTACTGCCTAATACTAACAGTTGGGCTCATAGGAGGGGTCTTGGAAGTGTATCTATTCATGATACCTCCTTTCCTACACTACATCATCATTTAAATATGGTAGAGAGTGGGTTAATGAAGCTCGAGAAGAAGTAGGAGTATAGTCAGGACCTTCAGTGCTACTACTACTACTACTGCTAACTCAGATATGTTGATATTAGGCATACTCAACGAGCTATTTACCACCACCACCACAATGATGATGATAATACAGTGTTGGGGTTCACGAATACAGATACACGAAGGATCGTTATAGGCAATATGGTGAAAGACCTCCAACGCCAAAACAATGATCTAAGGAATATGTTGTCTGAAGCTCATCACACGATGCATCATGATGATGATGATAATTGTTGACGTCCTCATAATAATAATAATCATCATGTTGCGTGCTGATCATGATGATAATAATAGTAATCGAGTATCATCTCTTGTTTTAACACCTCTTTTCCCTCTCTCTATACTACAGCTGCTCCCCCCCCCAGGTACCCGACTATACTCATTACTATTGCTCTCCTTCTCCTCTTCTTCCACATAGGATGGTATTCAATTATTCTACCATTCATCGTATATAATCGTTGGTATACTCTAGGAGTGTAGGAGTCCGGAAAGGATTGGTATCTAGTTTAGGAGCACCTTCCCAAAATACTATGGCTGCTCATGGTCAGCAGCAGCCTGGAATGATATGGTGGCTTTAGAGGCTTTAAACTATCTGAGTGGTATCTATCAATAGGGATATACAATACTCTCTGGATAGTGCCTAGTAGGCACTGCCTACCATACCCTCTTCTTCTGAATACAATGATAACGACCAGAATATACATGATGATAGGGGAGCTCTCATCTAGAACCCTTATAAGACTCTTAGTAGACTCGTTGTTGTAGGATAGATGGTAGTCTTCATTAGAATGGTAACACTTATCACTATACATATGTCTTACCGTCTGGGTGGAACTAGTAAGGTAGTACTACGTGGTGGTTGTAGGGTAAGATAAGTAAAGCTACTTACGAGTTAACTGCCGCCGACAATGCTTTGGGTGATAATAATGGTTTCACACATTATCAATCATCACTATCCAACAACCCTATCTTTAATGTTCGCCGACGCCGCCCTTTGAAGTTATACAATATGGAGTGTTCCCCAATGAGGGGTGACGACGCTGACGACATAAATCCGTCATAATAGGAATATATTTTGGTGTTTTGCATTCTGGAATGTGTTCTGAGTTTCGGAATGAGTTTTCTGAACACCCCGATAGTATCATCATTCAATAGTCGATGGAAAAAACAAAATGCATTCTTCAGCGTAGCGAAACGACGTAAACGGATTTTTGGAAAGACCAATTGAATTTTGTCTCCAGAGTCATGGTATCTTCCTCTTCCTCCTCCTCTGCCACATTATCATCATCATTGCCTGAGAGTAGTATTGAGGAACTCATGTTAGAGTTTAAAGAAATGATGAAAGATATCCAATTGGATAAGATTGGCAAAGCTGGTAATGATAATAATTAGCTGATATGATGATGAACACTGCTCATCAGGTCGGAGGTTACCCTTATTAGAATCATACCGTCATATATGGGATCATATACTTATAGATGCTTTTGATAAGCATAATGATATCATTAATGATACTCGGAATAGGATTAAGAGAATGGAGAATGTCAGAAGTGATAATGTTGTTGTCGAGACTAGGGTAGTAGTAGTAGTAGGGTATAATAGTCTAATAGGTGCATTAAGGAATAGTGATGGATGGACATTACAAAGAGATGCTAATGGTATTAAAACCATGTATAAGAATGATCCTAATACTCCACATGTAATGATGCTCATTATCATCATCACAATAGATTGATAATAATAATGATTATTATTATGAATAGATACATTGTCTTAGGATTGAGGGTATGGTAGATTGTCCTGTTTTTGATATTCTAGCTCTACTCAATGAAGTTGAATTCTACCCACACTGGATACCTAGTTATCGATATCTAGGTCTTACTATGGCAAAAAAGGTAATAATATAAACTAAAACTGATCACATCCATGATGATACACAACAGGCAATAACAGATTATTATTATGTGTTGTATAGGTTGTAAACCCTAAGCCTACTCAAATGTTGAATCATATTAAAGTAGCTCTACCATGGCCAATAGCTAATAGAGAGTGTCTATTCTCGGTTGGTAATAATAATAGTAGTATATTGTCTATAAGGAGGAGGAGGAGTATGACTCTATCATCTGGTCATCATCATCAGACGCTCTAGACTGTATAGGGAAGAATGAAGATCCGAGACAGTTAGTGATTCTATTGAAATCTGAGGTCAGACTACTAGTTATTACTATCACTACTTGAACCCCATTTCAGTCCGGTCCATCCTATGAACCCATGATTGAGGAAAGGGATATGCCTATACCGGATAAAGGTGCGGTCGTATGTGATATACTCGAACCAAGTGGGATAGTGTTAACACCCTGCGAGGATGGTCGAACGTAATAGTAGTATAAGCTCATGTCATTAATATAGGTTTTATTGTAGATTGATACAAATAGTAGAGCATCTAGATCCACATATATCCTATATACCATCTTGGCTACTAGATTTAGTAGTCCGTAATATGTGTTATATGATCCTGGCAAAGGTGATCATGAGGCTTTCATTGGAATATCATCATCATCGAGAGTATTATGGTTGTAGGTACGATCAGCAGTAGAGATAGTGAAGACTCCAGCATATCAAGATAGGATGAGGGATCCTAATAATGCATTTTATATGTATATAAGAAGGAGGATAGAAGAGGATATGCCAGAAGAGATGCAATATGTAATACTAAGCTGTACAAATATCACTAATATGTATGATATGAAGATAGTAGTAGTTCTCGCCTATATCTCAGATACCACCTCTGAATGAATCCATATAACTATGTTTCACTATTGAACTGGCAGCACATCACTTCAACTTGACGACATCCAATCTTACCATTGTTGTGTGCTCAACTAGTCTTTCATTTTCTTGGATAGATACATTGTCTACTCTCCTAGTTGGGTCGTCTCATACTATCATTTCAATGTAATACTTGCCTGCTCGATATTACCCAATCAGTATTATTATTATTATTATCCTGTCGACTTACGAGGAAGCGACCACCTTTCTCAGTTTGTCACAGTAGTAGGTTGCTACTATGGGCATATCACCTCCCACTGAAGAGCAGGACAAGGAGGAAGACACCACAACGTTAACATCATCGTCTTCCTCCTCCTCCTCTTCCTCATCATCATGTAGTCCCTCCATAGCATCAGAATGTAGTTTTGTGACAGTATGCAGTGAGGAGGTATCACCATCGATAGAGCAGGAGGTGGGAGGACGCCATGATATGTATAAATTATTCGATGCATTACTACATGATATACACACTGATAGGATAGCTACAGCTGGTAGTAGTAGTAGTTGCCTACTATCGGGATACATTGCTGATTATCAGGCCGTAAGTTGGCATATATTCAATCGTTAACGGCTAATTGGAAGGAGTTGCCAGATGATCTTAATACACGATATATCAATAATAAGGAGTTAATCGATCGTACAAGAATAAGATGGCAACGTATGGAGCATCTTAGAAGTAGTTCAACAACAACAACAATAGGGTGGCTTGGTTGTATAGCCTATATTGATTATTATTATCATAGTGCTCATCTTCTTCTTCTTTAAGATGAGTTAAAGAGTGATGATGGATGGCAGTTACAGAGATCCTACAATGGTATTAGAACTCTCTATCAACATAATGATACTACTACCAACGTACTACTATTGCTAGTTATCATACCTCTCTTAATAATACTTTAGATACATTCCCTTCGTGTAGAGGGTACTATACAGTCCTCTATGTTCGATCTCTTAGCCCTCCTTAATGAAGTAGGCTTTTATACACAATGGTTGCCAAGGCTGAGGTTCCTAGCTCTTACCAAGTCTATTAAGGTAGTATATAACATGAGAGAAGAAGAAGAAGTGAAGACTATACTCACTCTTCAGATAGCTAATCCAACACCAACACAAATGCTGGTACATATGAAGGCTACTGTTCCATGGCCCTTTAAGGATAGGGAAAGTATCTTCTCTGTTGGTAATAATAATAATATCTATCATCGTCATCAT